ACATCAGTAAGAATTAATAAAAGGCAGCTTTGAACAACTCTGTTTTAAATAGCTTCTTAAAAACTTGGAGTTTTAAAATTCTAGATTAATTTGCTCTAAAACCTACTTATTTGTCTTTCTGCTGGTCTGTGATATCAGTATAAAGCTGTTCTCCATTTTAAATATCTCATATTTGTCTGTCAGCTTTCTTCATTGTCCAGCTTTTGCATCTGTGTATAATAACTGCGAATACTATCATCTAGATGATCTTGGCCTTGGTCTCCAGTGACAAATCCTTGCATTTAAAAACCTTTCCTTCATAGCTGCCCTGTTAGGCTGTTAATTGAACTGAGGTATAGAATTTTTTTCATAACTTAGATTCCTTTATTGTTAACATTGAAGTTAAGTACGTTTTTGTTACTAATTTTGTCATCTCAGTGTTCAACTGTAATCCCATTTTTTGTACTTTATTTGCCACAGTAGAATCATGGAATTGTAAAACTGGAAGAAACCTCAAGGGTCATCAAGATTCATGGCGGAGTGGAGTTTTGAATATCAATCTACTCACTGTGTCACACTGATGCTCAATAGTTAATAACAGATTTAAGTGTGTTGTTAATAACAGGTTTAAATGTGGAGTGGGCTGTGGTTTTTATTGTGCTTTTGATATGGTCTCTCGGGTTCCTGATTGTTACTCTTTGCAAGGGGAAGTTGAGATGGACTCTACCTCAGAGTGTGGGCCTGGCCGAGGAGATGACACACTTTGGGAGTTTGTGGCTTGTCTTTGGGAAGGCAAATAACCTCAAGCAGCCCCTGATTCTTTTTTTTTTTTCAGACAAAGTGGTCAAGAAGGGGAAGAAGGATAAAAAGACTAAAAAATCGGTAAGCTTCTAGTTTTACATGGGGCTGCTCTAACTTGGTTTATTTCATTGGAGAACTGATTTGCCAAACCACATTTTCCTTTGCCAGATTACAATTTGGTTCTCAAACTCAATTGCTGTAGCCAAACTCGCCTCACTGCCCAGAGAGAAAACCCAGTAGCATTTTGTTCAAAATGTTGCTCAGAGAATAATCCTGGGGCATCTCTCTGTTGGTGGCGTCACCGCAGCTCTTTGAACTGTGAGCAACTTGAATTTCATGAATCTGAAGGCTTCCTTTCCTTTCACTCATTTATGTACAGTGGTGCCCCGCATAGCGACGATAATCTGTTCCAGGAAAATTGTCGCTATCCGGAATCGTCGCTATACGGAACGAAAAATCTCATAGGAACGCATTAAACCCTGTTTAATGCGTTCCTATGGGGGTAAAACTCACTGCTATGTGGAAATCCTCCATCCAGCCGCCATTTTTGCTGCCCGGTAAGTGAGGAAAGGGCGCAAAAACGCTGCGGGTGGCCTTTTTTTTCCGGCGGCCATTTTGGAACAGCCGATCAGCAGTTTTCTAAACATCGCAATGCGAAAATCGGTAAGCGAAATGCTTACCTATCATCGCAATGCGATATTTAGCCATTCAAAACATCGCTATGCGGATTCGTCATTAAACGGGGTGCTCGCTATGCAGGGCACCACTGTATTTATCTACTTCATAATTTTTTGCCCTTTTTTCTCTCCCGGAGTGGAAAGAGCGCTGTGGCCAAGCAATTTGCAGTTCCGTGATTCTTCCAGCAGGGCCAGTAGTTCTGGGCAACTGTTTATGCTGGCCAAAGTTTGCCCCCCCCCCCCAG